TATGCAGACTGTAGGTTCTTACACACTTAACAAAATTGGGCTCTAAATTAATGAAGGCAAAATAAATAGAAGTTTGGTTGATTTCAAAGTTTCCTGTGTCCCCAGGTGAAAAAGCAAAATAATTTTCTTGTGTAAGATATTTAGACAGCAATTGAATAGGTCTTCTCTTTAGGTTGTGGTCCTAGGGAAGAGCTGGCTGGTGTGAGCTGCCTTTGGAGAATGGATAGATGTTTCCAGTTCTTTTTTTTTTTTTTTGACACAGAGCCTCAAGCTGTCCCCCTGGGTAGAGTGCCGTGGCATTACAGCTCACAGCAACCTCCAACTCCTGGGCTCAAGCGAGTCTCCTGCCTCCGCCTCCCAAGTAGCTGGGACCACAGGCGCCCGCCACAACGCCTGGCTATTTTTTGGTTGCAGCTGTCGTTGTTTGGCAGGTCTGGGCTGGGTATTAGAACCCACCACCTTAGGTGTACGTGGCTGGCGCCTTAGCCGGTTGAGCTATAGGTGCCGAGCCGTTTCCAGTTCTTTATTTGAGGTTCCTGGCAGCCTGCCTTAAACTTTTCTGTGGAGTCATCCTGGAGAAACTTATCCCATCCACTTAGTCGCTGCTAATGAGAATTCTGTATTCTAATCACTTGTATAGTTTCTCTTTTGTCATTATTTCTGAGCCTTAAGTCTTAGTGCTAGAATAGTTGTGTTTAGTCTACGGTTAAATACAAGGGGTGGAGAAGCTATGTTTCTTTTGCACTTTCAGACCTAGAGGAAATGGCCAAAATGAGAGTGGTTTTGTCGCCAAGTGCATGGTGTTTAATTCCCAGTAAATTATTTCTTCCCAGTCACAGTTGAGTGATTTGCATGAGCAGGTCGATCCAGAAATTCCAAGACCAAGCATAGGATACTTTTCTTTCTTTCAAAACCTCATTTGATTGTATGCAAGAGTGTATTAAATACTAACACCTGTTTAGAACAGCAGCATTGTGGTGACCACAAGTTGTCTTAATTTTGTGTATATATGAAATAGGAATATTGCAATTTATTATGTTTAAAATACCAATTGAAACTTTTTATAAAACAGTTGGAGTTTTGTTTGGTGCTACTGGCAAGATAACTATAAATGTGAATGTGGAATTAGTAAGTGTAAATTACATGGTAGTTAATTCAAGCCATTTAAAGAGACCGATGGGCAAACTTGAGTCTAGAATGAGCGGGAATAAAGAATAAACATTTCCAAAGGTTTGATTTTCCTGCTTGTAGATATGCATATATTCATGAACAATACTAGTTTTAGTGTTTTAACATCTATGCACATAGAAGCGCATATGCTTATTGAAGAGCCAGAAAGATTATAGAATTTCAATTCTTTATTTTTTGTATATCAGGTCTGCAAAAGACTCTTGTAGCTTTGTTGATTGTCATAAGGAATGGCCTTAAACGGTGAATGTTGTCATATTGTCTTCCCCTGTTTGCTCTGATCAGGGAATAGAATTCCATTTATTTCCCTTAAGGATTCATGTTATAACTTCAAGAAGATTTTGAATGGTTGTATAGTCTTTTTTTCCTCTGTCTGGTTCTTACTGAGATTCACTATTCAACAATTAATTATGGCTTGCCAATTATTAGAAAGGACAGGGTGTTTTTTTTGTTTTTTTGTTTTTGGCCGGGGCCAGGTTTGAACCTGCCACCTCTGGTATATGGGGCCGGTGCCCTACTCCTTTGAGCCACAGGCGCTGCCCAGGACAGGGTGTTTTTTAAGTTTTCTTTTTTTCCATGTGCCCAAGGCACAAACCAGGCATGGGCCAAAAGCCAATCTGAGATAAATAGGAGATTGCTTTGAAAGGTGTTTACTTAAAGTTCTTAAATCATAAAAGCTATTCCTAGCTAACTACATAGTAAGAATGGTTAAAGTGCTTATTCAGTGGGAAGTGCTTAATCACTTTCCGAGAGCTTACAAAAGGTTAATAGCATAATGCTAAAAAAAAATATGTGTACTTGGATGTGTAAATGCATCATATATACATCTTTCCACAGACACACTTTTGTATAGCTTGCCCAGCCTTTGAAGCTATGCAGGGTTGTGGGACTGTGCACTCCAATCAGTTTCAGACCTGGTTGCTTTTCATCCACCCACTTTTTATGCCATTTCTTGCTCCCATATTCTGCCAGAAGTAAAACAGTTCACATGTCCCAACTCTCTGATAGCTCCTTTTTATACTTTTTTTTTTT